GTGAAGACCCCCATAACAATCTCTCCTCGTTCTGGGGGGGGCCCCCCCCCCCCCCCCCCCCCCCCCAAGTGCCACCTCGACCAAGCTAGCATAGCCAGTCCGTTGCTTGCCGGCCAGAGGGAACGCCACCGAAGCAATCCCACGACAAGGACCAGGCCCCCGACCAGGTATGGATGGGTACGGGACGGCGTGGTCCTGCGACCCTGGTCGAGAGATGGGCAAATCCCATGCTACTCTTGTTCCTCATCGACGGCCTGCTTGTACCCTGATCGTCCTCTCTCGCCATGCCACCCATGCCCATGCCCATGCCTCGCAGCTCTGGGCTAGTTCAGGTCTAGTGTGTTCCGTCAAAACCGTCCTTCCCTCCCCCACATCAGCAAAGGCCTCGTTCCCAGATACTTAGCAAGGCATTAAGCATCTGTGGGCTGTGTGCCTTCTGCTTCTTCTTCCTCCCAGCTCACCTCCTCAATCCACCACGGTCCGATTCACCAAGAATACCACTAGTTGGGCACTCTTTCGTCTGAGCCTGGCTCGTGTCAGTTTCAGTGTGCTCAAATCACCGTCTTAATTTGTCCCGTTTGGCTTGTCGCCGGGTCCTCCTTCTCCTATTACCACTCCCTCCTCCTTCTCCTCCTTCCCCTCCTCTTCCACTCCTCCACCCCTCCACTCCTCGACAACTTCTCCCCCATTTCCTATTTTGGCACCACATCATCTGTGCACATCTCTCTACCCGTTAATCTGCCTGCACAATACGATACCACCACTCCCAACCTCAAAGATATACAAAAGGACTGCCATCCCACCTTGCATCTGTCTTGACCACTACCGACCATCATCCCATTCGAGCTGTTTGTTGATTCACGGCTGGGACCACTTGACTACATCAGCATCCTTTTTCATTTCTTCACCCCTCTCTGTCGTTGACGAGCATCACCATCATCGTCGCCACGCCAATCCCCCTCCGAAGCCATCCATCTGCCCGAATTCGCTTCTTCAAGCAAACAAGAGAGGACCACCACTTCAATAACACCCCATCATTTAGGCTGGACCGTATTTAGGTACGCCCTCCTCCCTCCCCTGCCCTGCCCTGCTTGCTTGCTCGATCCCGGCTGACCAGAGATAGTCCTTATACCGCCGTGCGGCTTCATCTTTCGAGCCCGCCCATTACTTTGGATCCTCGCCATCATCGTTGCCGCCCAACAGGATCGAGTACCAAAGTGTCTCGTTCACATTGGCTGTGTCTAAGAGACCTTTATTCTTCAAAGAGACCTACGCAAGATGTCTATGCTCGCCATGGCTGCTCCATCCCCCCATTCAGCATTTAAGCAGTATCCCTGGGATGGCGGCAGGTCGACCTCGGATTACTCGCGCCCCCGTACCGAGACCGAGAGAATCGCCCTGCCATCGATCCGCCAGGTACGACGACCGACCCGCCCTTGCTCTTTGTGCTTTGCTGACAACGTTGTAGGCCATCCCGGAACTTCACCTCCGCCTGCAACCCCAGGAGTCGTCAACCACCAGGACCACTTCTTCCAACACCTCGCCAACAGTCGGCTATGCCGGTGTCATGACGCCACCCGAGTATGTTCACTCGCCAAGCTCAAACAAGCGGAGGAGACTGTCGGTGGACGAGGAGCAGGACGGTGAAAGAGTCAGCCGCGTCCCGAGACTGTACGAAAGCCCAGCACGGCTTCCCCAACGCCAGATTTCCCCGCCACTCGCTTCCCGCTCTGTCACCGAGAGCTGGACCGGATCCGCAAGGACAAGCCCCTACATGTCTGCGTCGGGCATGCCTTCTATCAGATCCCCGGCCATGGAGCTGAACGAGCGTCCTGAGATGCGGACGACACTCCCCAGCCTCCCGCCCATGAACTTCGATAGGGAGCCCGTTCCCATGCAGCGTGTTCGGGGACACTCCCAAGATGATTTCCAGCCCATCCGCCCTTCCATGGGCATGTCCGGAGCACCACCCATGATGGAGGCCGCCCCAGCTTACCGCCCCAGCGGTTACGCATACGGATATCACCACCCCAGCCGGGTTCAGTCTCTGTCTCTCGGTTCTATTCACCCCTTCGACCGCACGCCTTTCTCAAGTGCTGGTTACGGCCACTACCCCGAGTTCATGCGCATCGGAGAGCTTAGCGCTATGGGCATGCACGGCGACAGCAAGCAACGCAAGCGCCGTGGCAACCTGCCAAAGGAGACGACTGACAAGCTACGTGCGTGGTTCGTAGCTCACCTACACCACCCGTACCCAACCGAAGACGAGAAACAGGAGCTCATGCGTCAGACCGGTCTCCAGATGAGTAAGTCTACTTGAACCTTCCGACACCGTTGGACTCTAGTGGCTGTTTGCTAGGGAGTGTGTGCGTGATTCTTTCTTGGCACAAAACGCTAACCTGCCCTCGCCTTCCAGACCAAATCTCCAACTGGTTCATCAACGCGCGGCGCCGGCAGCTGCCCACCATGATTAGCAACGCCCGTGCCGAGTCCGACGCCATGTCCAGCCGCAGCGGCGAGAGCAAGATCCTCCCGTCGACAGAGCGTAGCGAGTACGACGACGGCAAGCGCTCCAGCGTTCCCCTCAGCGAAGGCGAGGCTTTTGACGAGGATCTTGATAGCCTGAAGCACCGGCGCTCAGCGCACATCAAAAGGGGAAGCGTCTGAAGAATTGGGTGACAGAGAGACACGGCAACTCAAAACAAGGCAGAAAGGCCTCGCCGATCATCAGACAAAGAAAAGAACACCACGAATCGTCCAACAAAGCACGAAACAGGGTTCCCTTTACCAATATACCAGTCACATACTTTTTTTCTCATTTCATCATTTACGACGAACCACGATCGCAAGACCACTCAACAGATCCAAAAACCGGCACCAAGAGCAAGATCTCTTAATACCATTATGGGCTATATTTGTACAAAATTTCATCGCAGGGGATGGATGAACAGAGTCATCCTCTGAACCCGCCTTTCCTTTCTGTCGACTTGTATTTAGGGTGGATAATGTAACTTACAGACCAAGCCAAAGGCTTCACGGGGATTTCTTCCGGTAGGGATCCTACACAAACACGCACACTTTCACTCACACATACCCACAAGCGGGACACGTGGAAGGGCAATGGGAATGGACCAGGGGGGGGGGGGGGGGGGATTGGGGCAGACAAATATGCATTACACTTCTGGACAAGCTTGGTTTTGTTTTTGACGGGGGAGGTGTTCATGGGCAACGGGTACTATCTTCACACAGCCAAACCAGAGGCTGCCTTCCAACATTACGGGATACGTAGAACGATATCATTGTATCAATGTCTTCTTTTTGAAAAGAAAAACATGTTTCAATCAACTTGCTGAGCTGTTTGAGTACCACACACACACACACACACACACACACACACACACATATACACATATACACACGAAAGCGGCCCACATAAATGCATGTCATCACCATTGACCATAACAAGATTTTGACACGAAAAATACGGCTACGAAAGCCTTTTCTTTTAGCGAGACTTGGCCCGTGACAACCAAAGAAAAGAGGGTGAGGGGAGAAGGGGGGTACTATTCTGACACCTTGACTGACTCTGCGATGCCTAAAAACGGGCGGCATCTCCCCCTAGGTCTCGAAACTCTCCGTTTTGACTTTGTATACGTGTGTGTGTGTGTGGGTGGGTGTGTGTGTGGGTGTGGCCTCCATCGACTTCAGCAGAGTCTGCACAGCGAACCCGGTCAGACGGACCTTGGAAAGAAAGCAAGTCAGCCCCGTCCGAACGAAATAGAACCAGGTGTCTGAAGCGTGTAAGGTGTGAGTGTGTACTACCACCTAGTTTGTGTGTGTAGTAGGTGTGTGTGTATGTATTCTGCACCCAGTCCCCCCCTTTCTCTTGACCCCCCCCTCCCGGAAACAAACAAAACAAACAGGAGAGCATAGAAAATAGAAGGGGGAGGGGAAGGGCCAAGAGGTCGAAGAGTTCACGGGCCGTTACTAAGTGGCCATGGCACTCGCTTTCCACCGGAGCAGGGCGGAAGAATGGGGTGATCGATTTTCCCCCTCGCCCCAAGAGACCACGAGCGCAGAAGCGTTTTTGTCGTGATATGCCACTTTCATCATTAATCATCAGTCATCAAGTTAGACGCGCGCGCACACAAACATACGGGGGGGGGATAGCCGGGTGAAGGAGGGAAACATGAAAGGTCTGTGTGCCGCTGCTACTTCCACCTCTCTCTCGCCCCCCCCCCCCCCCCCCCCCCCCTTGCGTTCATGGATGGCAGCGTCCGTCCTCTGCCTCTGTACCCTTTCAGTCACCCGTGGCCTTGCGTTGACTGCATCGGAATACCACCACCCAACACAAGACGACCCTCGGATTCGGGTGGTAGGGCAAAACAGCAAAAGGCGTGAGCGTTGGCCTGGGCGAGTGGGAGGCGGGCGTAGGAGGCGGGAAGGAGGCGACCCGGGATCCCGGACCACGACTATCCTCCCCAAGGGCCCGTCCGTAAAAAGCTTCGGCCGTTGCCATCGCGGCGGGTTTGCTGGTTGCCTTGCCGTATCACCCCCTTCGTCATGCTGCCCGCCCATCCCGCAACTAAGCAGGAAAGGAGAAGGGGGGGGGGAGGCCTACTGTAGTCGCAGTCGCACTCCGCGTATGCGTTATGTCTGTGCCTGTGCCTGTGCTGTTGCTGTTGCTGTGCACTCGTGGGCGCTACGTTACGTTACGCATGTGCGGTGCGGTGCGGTCGGTCTTGAGCGAGTCCTGCGCGTTGCTCCGTCACCACACACGGGTTCTGCAGCGGCTGAACACTTTGAGAGCCAACTACCCTCCCCCTTCCCTGCTTGCCCGCCGGTCGCTCCACACGTCGACGATGTCGTGGGCGAGCGCGAGGGCGAGCGGCCGCCCTCGGGTTCAAATAAATAAATTGTTAAGCTGACCGAGTTTCTTGAACCCGCCAGCCACACGTCCGCCTCCCCTCCCTTAGCCTCTCTTTAGACTCTGCTGCTGGCACTGGCGCGACACTATCGTCCTAGTTCGCACCATGATCGCCTCGAAAGAGCTCCGCCTTTTCGGACCTGCCCACATACCTACATGCTTGTGCCGCCTCTCCCGGTAGCTTGCCACCGGTACGACGTGGGCGTGGACGCTTGCGGTGTCAAGCCTGGCATTCCATGTGCAGGTGTCGAAGAGGGGAGGGGGGGGGGAGGAAAAAGAAAAGGGGTGGCCCAGCATATCATCCCCCGATCTAATGCGAGGTGATTGACGGGCGCGGATGTTGTACATGTGGTTTAATGTGTCGTGAAACACACGTCTCTTTTTTAATCTTGCGTAGATAATGTGCGCTTCGAGAGGATGGGATGCATGTAACGGAGTGGTCATGCTTTTGCGCCGCGCCGCCGTCGCCAGGGCGCAGAAGTGATTCGCCATCTTTCCGAAGAGGAGAGTTTGGATGGATGTGTCACCTCATCACCGTGCAGGCCCATTTGGACACTGAACTTTTTACTTTTTCCAGTCGGGGTTCACAACACCAGCGCTGCATGCGCGCGTATGGCGTGGGCTGCACAGTGGTGGCCTTGCGGGATACGAGCAGGCAACGAAAGAGGGAGAGAGGGCCGTGAGGTCGGAGGTCCAACTGCCCACCAGCAAGGCACCTCAATACAAGCAAAATGTGGCGTTCCCCGTTCCTTGATAATAGGTCACCACACTCTCGGGAGAGACCATTGAAGCAGGAAACAGGCGGGCCCAGAACGTCCCGATATACGTGCGTGAGCTCGCTCTCCCGAGGAACTAGACACGTCCCCTCGAGCGATTGTCGGCGCCGGCGCCGCCAGCGCCTCCGCAAAGGCTTGGCCACTCTGCTACTGGTCGGGTTGGACGGGACTTTTCTTTTCCTCCGCCTTGCTAAAAGGCCTCAGTATCTGCAGCCGGAGGGCGAGATGGCCACATGTGAGGACACAGCCGAATAGTTGGCGCCGGGCGCGGGACGCACACCGGCGGAACGCAACCCTCTTCTCCATGGTTTTGATCAGGACCCATCTGGCGTGGGTTGCATGCTATGTGTAGCCATCGCTCCCCGATCTCGACAATGGGAGCTGCAGACCTTGACCGACTTTCAGTCTCTCCGTGCGTCTTAACCGAGTCACTTTTCCCTGCATCAAGTATTTGCTACTGGACGATGCTTTCCCCTCGTTCTACTTGCAGACGCAATGCGTGGCCAAGGCACGACGCTAGCCTTACGCTTTGAGATGTCGAGATAAACAGTATCCTGCCTTTGCCTTCAGCCCCTTGACAGCCAACCCTTGCTCAATTCCCGGGGCAGGCGAAACAAGAACCATAATTGACAGGTAATAATGGACATGGATCAGTGGCCCGTACAGTCTGTGTCAAGGCCCAAATGATCGACTACCGGTGTCAGGGCCCCCCATCACTGGACGTGTCAGAGGAACACAAGACGGTTGGATAAGGGGGCGGGGGTAATAGAATGAGTCCCGGAGGGGGGGGAGGGGGGGTGGTACTCGCATTGTTGTCCGATGAAGTGACCTTGGTCATGCTGAGACACTGACGTGAAGGGGGAGTATATCGGCCTCTCTGAGGATAATGTTTGAACAGGTGCCAATTACTACATGACCACGACACCAAGCGTTCGGCGACTATCCATACCATGATTCTCGCCAGTATATGTTACGCCCTTTTCTGATCTGCCTCGATGCTTTCAAGAAACGGTGCATGCCGAAAGTCTGAATAGCATCTGCGAACCTGCCCAAGTTATCCCCCGAAAGGGATCTGTGCGCGGCGACAAGTGCTGCGACAGCCGTTAGCATACCGGCCGAACCAAAGTAGGTAGCAAGCGAGACTCGTCGTCGCTTGAGGATGACTGGGCCTTGCATCCCATCCAGAAGCATTGTTTTCTTTGTGTGAGATGACAGCCAGTCGCAAAATCCACTGGACGAAGAAGAGGGTGGGGAAGGGGGTGTAGATTCATAACGTAAGGGCCAGTTCAGCACAGGGCAGGACGAGGCCCATGAAAAGGATGTCGACCAGGAGCAGGGCTCGTGAATCCGGTTAATTCAACGCGAATCAGGAATGACCGGCGCCTAGAAGGGATGCCAGTCAGTTGCGCACACTCAGGCACAAGACATAAGACTGGGGATTGCAGTGTACCGGTACGTAGAGTTATCGAGTCAAGCTCCGCTTGGGCATTTCTTCGTCTTCTGCTACTACTGCTGCTACAACGTCAAATAAAGCTTGAGGTGGCAGGAAGCCGTCATTGGTGCAAGCAGCGCGGAGCCTGTCCGCGACGGATGTGCTAGTGGGAGGGGGCCATGTCAGCACACCCACATAGTAAGTACTAGTTCTATTGAGATTGAGCGCGTCGGTGCAGCATGCCGATGGCGCAGAGCGGCGGGCAAGCATGGGATGGCATAGTGTACTGTTTTGTAGACAAGACCTTGCTCGGCACTTTTTTGATGGAGCTACTATGCAAACTACTACTATGATAAGTTTAGGATGTGTTGTTAACCTTGTGGTGTGGAGTCACTCACGGGCTGGTGAAGATGGAGATTTATGTAACGCCTTAGCTGGATGGTTACATGCCGTCTTGCCACTTTAAATGTACGGATACTGTAAATGATACTGGTTTAAGGGGCTGCTGAATGGCTGTGGAAAACTGGGGAGA